TATATATATAGCATATGCAGACACATAATTTTTAATATTAAATTTATATTTAATATAAAAAATTCAAAATTTTATATTAAATATATTATCATTTTTTTAAAATTCATATTCGTGGTCCTTGGGATTTAAAAGTATGAGTTTGGTGGTCCCTGAGGTTCAAAAGGTTAGCGACCCCTGATATAATATACATTACACATGATTTGCTAGTCCTAAAGTACATTTACTATACCTTCTGTGGGATGGCCAGAGTACTACTCCAGGTCTCTTTGAATTTAGCAATTGAACAGCAGACGCTGGATTAGAAAAGAGATGACAGAAACAGAACATTGCACTGACCAAGACTGCTGACGCCACACGACCATCCTGTCAAGACAAAATGCAAGAGCCTCAATCAGGAAAATTTCACCTTTCAAATGAGCCATGGTTTTTTGCTAAACACACACAAAATCTTTTAAACAAGATCTGCTCAGTGCTGCTTTGAAACTAAAGCAGAAGCTCTGCAGAAACTCGTGAGATGTTTCCCTCTGGAAAAAAATGTTCATAGGATTACACTGAATTCACAGGATTAAACAGAAACAAACATTTGACTTAGGTCAATTCTAATGCATCAAAGGATGTTTTTTTTAAAGGAAAAAAGGAAAAAAAATACACAAGTGCTTCCCATGCAAAAGAAAGACCGTTAGACACCGACAGTGAAAATTCCTTCTAGTGTGGTGTGTTGGAAACATCCAACAATAGGTTAAAAACTAGAATGGAATTGTATGAGATACATTTACAATTGGCACTGTATCTCAGCTGGAGATAGACTACAACAAAGCAAGTCCATCAAATAGAAGATGAAGAACAAATAGGGTAGAATTTTTCTCTGTTTCCTTCTAATGTAATCCAGAGGTGCAGAAGGAGAAAACAGCATCCTACCTATGGTTCCCAGCTATGCCAGAAGTGAGTCATCATTGATTAAAGTGTACTTAGGAGCATGTCTGTCACAACAAACCAGAACAAATTACAGACAGTAAGTGTTCAATACTCCAATAATCAGTTTGATAGAGAAAAGCTTCCAGCTGTGGGATGTAGTCAAAGTAATCCAATATTGTTATTAAGAAGAAAATTCTGTAACACTCCTTTTCACAAATCTTTGATCTTCAGAGCAATCTGATAAATAGACAACTTTATGGCCTTCAAATGTTAAAGATTACAACATTCTTGAATTCCATGCTTCATGGTCAATTGTGCGAAATTATAATGTTGGTAGTTAAAAAACATTTGGAGGGCATCAGAACGGATATCACTGCTGTAGAATTTAGTAAGTATATAATTTGCATGGAAGCCATATGCAGAAAAATCTGAATATGTGGCTTCTCCCAATAAAGAAAGCAGCAACTTGAAGGGGTTTAAAGAGGAGTTGTCCCTTACATACTGAGGCAATGCACGTCTTCCACTGCATTGCTGATACAGAGTTAGGACAGTAGGACAAAAAATAATAATAACCAAAGTGACATGAGAAGAATCTTATCAGACAAATAAAGATTTTGCATGCCTGTCTTCATCCAATCTGTTGGCCAACCCTGTTGGCTTTCTGGAAAGATGTAAAGGCCTGACTTTTCCACCTGGCACTGTAGGAGTCTCCACCCAGTTTATTTTTAGTGGATTTGTACAGTTGGTTATTTTATTTCTATTTATCTCCAAGAGTTCCGTAGTTGGAGGGGTGGCTATATAAATTTGCTAAACAAACAAAACTTTTTAGGGATTTGTGAGAGTTCCAGGTAAAATAAGTTCCATAGAACTGTGAAAGGCCATGGCTAGATGTACACATCACACAAAAGCAAGATTATTGTAGCCTGGTTCAAGTGTCACACTAAACCACAAACCACCCTTTACAAGCAATGATAAATACAGTTTAATATGATATATGAAGTTTGCCATTGTTTACCTTTGATATGAAATGTTAAATATGGAGGACTGTGTCTGTCTTATAGAATAAGCAAGTGTGGAATATACAACAATTTAAGTGCATTTTTAAAATAGTGGGATAATTATTTAAATAAATAAAAATGGAATATGATAGAGATATGCTCATTATCCTGATATAGTTCTGACTAACTTTTACCCATAACAGTTTACCTCGAGGGAGTAAACTTCTAGTAATATGTTACATTACTATATGGTCCATGGTGTTCTTTGAGCTTAGTTGTTTTCTGCAAGATCAAGGACCACAAGTTCCACCCTGAGCTACAAATATTCTCTTCCATCAATTACTGTATTGTACCATGGAATTTCTATGGGCAATACTTAAGTGAATCAAATCTACCTGCCTATTCCTGAGTCCTAAAACTAAAACAGCTTCCCTATACAAATTGGGTTAGATTTTGAGAGCTAGTATCTTATTATTAATGAACTTGCCTGCACCTTCTGATTTATAGCTTCTTTACTATAAAAAATCTGTTAAATGGTTTTCTAAAAGAAAGCGAGGTATAATTGCCTGTTCTCCATGTTATAATTTCAAGACAGCACAAGTAGTCAAGATTTGAGTGACAAAAAGCTGTTTACAGGAGGGAAATAATGGTGAATTTGTTTCCCTTACATGGATCTCTCTACGAATCATCGTTCTGTTGTGTTGTGTGCCTTTGAAGAAATGGAAGAAAATGCCTTACTTCATTCTTTGTTATTTTAGGATGTCAATAACTTATGAATCACTTATCAGAAGGGTGAAGAAAGGGGTATCTGGGAAAATTGCTGATTACTAGAAATCTAATAAATGACAATAGTATCAACTAAATGACAAATATAAGGACTTTAATTCCAGGATGATCACATGGAATTCCACAAATACTGCAGTTGATCTCTACTAGTGTTCCTATAGCACTTGGCATTGACCAAGTCTCTCCAGATAATTTATCTGGATAATAGTATCCTAGGGACAGGATGTCTTCATGTGGGTTACAAAAAGTCATCAACAATTGGAACAACAGCCTTACCTCTGGTGGCAAGTAACCATCTTTGAAGTTGCTTGGGGGAAATCAGGAGAATCCATTAAAAGAGGCAACAATGCCAATGTGATGGTGATCTCCATACAAAAATACTTCAATTCTAGGGTATGTCAAGGTGTATCATCTCTGCAACTTGGTGGACTCTGATGGCCAGCTGTCAAAAGTCTGTTGGTGGAGAAGGGGAATAACTTGCTTGATCTGTCTAGCATGGCTCCCAAATGAACCATTTGCTAATGACATCATCAGCTTTGCTAAATTCTAGAAGTAGATGCTGTACTGATTAGGGGATGCAGCTAACAAACAAACATGATAAATTGAGGAATCTGCAAATAGGAATGATAGGAATATGACAGAGGAAGAGATATGTATTGTTTTGACTATTTTAATGACGTGTATGCAAAACTGTGGATTATCAGATACTTGTTTGATGTGCAAACAATCAATGATGGTCCCCACATTATTTCTCAGAGAAAATGGAATAAAACATATGGGATCTTACTTAGAGGAGGCATTATTGTTCTATATTTATTATATTTACATCACTTAGGGATACAGAGATTGAAGACAACTGAAATTTATTCTTGGTCTTGGCTGGCTCACAAAAAATAACTTCCTATACTCTTTGTTGTTAGTGAACAAAAGCCTTCCAGGTATAGAAGGATAGAAAAAGTCTTGACTCATGGATGAGCAGGGTCTGACATGACAAGTGAAGAACTAAGTGGCATACAATTTTATGAAGCCTGTACTCAAAAATCCAAATGCCTTGAAAATTATTTTACTGCATTTTAGGGATTCAAACCATTGTTCCCTGATTTGCTTTCCCAGGGCCTCAATTATACCCATAATCTATTTAATATTTGGGTAGTCTCAATATTCTGGTCAAGCCATAAAGAAAAAGCCATAAAGGAAGCTGGAAGGGAAGTTTGATTCGCTTGCAAAGTCATCTTAGATTGGCAGAGAAATGGCAGAGAAACCTCATTCGGGCACCTTTGCTCAGAAAATTCTGGTATCATTAAGATATAAAATAAGAGTAACCCAAGATAAGCAGTTGTGACTTCTAAAATTGTGCTCTTGATCCTCAACCTTTCAATCTACATTATTGGTTCCTGGGAAAGTTGAAAAGTAATGACAGAGTTAGCAAAAAAAAAAAAAAAAGTATTGGTGTATCTGGAAATTCTTATTGACTACAAAGTATAGGACAGGGCTCCCCAAACTTAGCAACTTTAAGACTTGCGGACTTCAACTCCCAGAATTCTCCAGACAGCTGTGCCAGATTTAAAGCTGCCAGATTTGGAAATCTCTGGAATAGGAGAACAGTAAATGTCTCTCTCTTGTGAACTTTGTTCAGGAAAGATATTAACAATCAAGCCAAGAGATTATATAGGGGTGCTGCCATTTAACTAATGCTTTCCTTCATTAATCTTTTAAAAAAAATCATTTTAGCTTTTGTGTTCAGATGTGATATATCACATTATTTTAAACAACCATCCGCCATCACAACCCTTGGTATTTCCTTCCATGCATTCAATATGTTCTCTCTGCCTTAAAAACTTCATCCTCATTACAGCAAAAACTATTTAAATTAGAAAAATCAAGAATTGGCATAACGCTAAACTGATTGTGCTGCCCAAGTGACTAATTTTTCCTGTTTTACCTAAATTGGAACTCCTGCTGATGCTTTTTAGAAGACACTTTTTTACCTGGAGTTTAAAAGCCTGACTTTCTCTATCACACATAGTTATATGAAAGTGATATATTCTCTATTACACAGAGTTATTGCACATTGCCTGATAAGTGTGTTCATTTTCTCTGACTTTGCTAAAATCCTCAGGAAAAGGACAAAATATTTCTTAATGCTGTGCCATTTCACTATTTCTTCTTTACTATGGCAAGAAGTTTTACAATGGATTTAATTTTTATTTTTATTTATATTTTCTGAGACTTTTCAAACTCCAAGCAAAGTTTTGTGTGGGCATCATTAAATCACTTCTCTAAATATTCTACTTCCCCTGTTTTACTGAAATGAATGCATTAAATGTGTTGAATTCTCTACAGACTCCTTAAAATCCCTAGCTTAATAATTAGCAAACTGTTAATTGTACAGTAACTATTAAACCAGTGGTGGGATTCACTTTTTTTTTTAATACCAACTCTATGGGCGTGGCTTGGTGGGTGTGGCAGGGGAAGGATACTGTAAAATATCCAGTCAGAGGTGGGATTTGCCAGTTCTCTGAATTACTCAAAATTTCCGTTACCAGTTCTCCAGAACTGGTCAGAACCTGCTGAATATCACCTCTGTGTTGAACATTTCAATGGTAATCTGATTCCTTTCTTTGCAATCATTAAGTGATAAACAGAATTAATAAATTGTATTGTTTGGTTTTAATATTTTTGCTTTCTAAAGTCATATGCCTGTTTAATAACTTAAACAGTCTGGCTAGAATTAACACTGTGGAAGACTCAAGACTGTTCCAGAATTGCTAGGCATCTCCTGACATCAAGTGTTTATGTAAGACATAAAAGGAACAATAATATCTAAAGTACTGCTCAGGGCGAATACATTTTGTGTTGCCCATGTAGGGTGTAATGTCATTTTCAGGCCTAAAATAAAATTATGGAAATACGTTCTAATATAGTAGCACTCCACAGGGATCATGATATTTTTGACTCAGTGCAAATGCCAGTCCAATTTTTGAAAGAACTTCTACAACACGCTGAATTTCCTGAGGAACTAAAACTCTCCAGGCACCTGAATAGGTGGTAAATACTTTAAGCAGCCTTTGCTTTAGTTTTGATGTGTTCAGAAATATAACAAGCATTAAAATAATGATAGGCTACATTTTTTTCTATACATACAAATGAAATGAACTTTGGAAATCCAATCCTAACGTTCTCAGATAAGAATCAAAAGAGGGATTAGGGTGGAACAGCCACACAAAACTCCCCAAAGATAAATTGTCCATCTGTAACAGATTCCAAAACAAGTTATATTATGGATATTGCATTGTACAATTGATACAATGCTTTCAAGATGTCTCTCTTCCTCTACACATTTGTGATAAGATCCATCGCTAATACTGACATCGCACTTTCACCTTTCCTGAAATTAATAAGGAACATTCCAGAAGAAAGCAGCGATGAAAAACCAGTATCATGAGTTTCACGACATAATTGGCAAGATGATGGAAATGATACCAAGTTTTCCAATTACCATCCTGAAAGCACTATTGAGATACTTCTAAATTCTCTAAGAACACAATAAATTCTCTAAGAACACTATAAACTAAGCAGTCTGTTTTTTAAAAAATAATCATTTATTATTCACGAAGTTATAAAAATCAGATGCTGCAAATACCATTATAGGGACTCCATCTCCCTTTGAAATGAAAACTGATGAATTTTTATTAGAGATAAATGTGGATCAAATACAAAAAAATGCAGGAATAAAATTACAGGAACAAGATATTCCTTGTCTTCTACTTTTTCATCAGCAAAGCTATAAATATCTAGCTAAGAGAAAACCCAAAAGCATTACAGGCTCTTATAAAATTTGACAGAGAAATATCTCAAGATGTTGCAGTGTGTACCAAGTTTAGCACTGTCCTCCACATATAGATTGCCACAAGTTAATTTTCAGTTTTCAGGGGTGAGTTGCTACCGGTTCTCCCCTGTTTGTGTGAAACAGTAACGAATTTTATCATTTTTAATTGCCAGTTTGGTGAACTGGTAAATCCCATCCTTGGCTGCCCCCCCCCCGCCCCCCCTCCTATCCCAGGAATCTCCATGTGGCCCATTTTAAATCCCAGGTAAGTATAGGGCCCGCGCAGACGCTCGGGGAGGGCAAAAAACAGGAAGTTCTGGAAAGCCAGAAATTGGCTTGTTTTGGGCTCCAGGTGGCCTCCAGAGCCTGAGGAAGGCATTTTCATCCTCCCAGTGGCTTGAGGAAAGCCTCCGGAGCCCGGAGAGGGCAAAAATGACCCCCTACCTACCGTGGTGCAGGAGGGTGACTAGGCTACGCCCACCATGGCCATGCCCTTCCAGCAACCGGGCAGAGAACCAGTTGCTAAAATTTTTGAAGCCCACCCATCAGTTTTTTGTGTTATTCTTTGTATTGTTTGTACTGTACACCAGGGTTTGTTTTCAACCATCAACTATCTATACTCATTAAAAGAACCTTAATTTATGTCAGGCTTTATATTTGAAATATTTTTTTCTATATAGATCTATATACAAATGGTTACTTACTGCTTGACTTACCATACAGTGAATGACACAAACATTTTTGGGATTCTGCTGCAACCAGTTATGCATATTCTTACAAACAGCATAGAGATTATGGAGACTTGGTGCTTGTCTAATTGGCCAACTACATTCAGATACCTAAAGAAACACAGAGTGAAAACAGGTCAGAACAGTAGTAACAATCAGCTAGATTTGCACAGCATAAAAGAAAACTAGAAAGAGGTCAGGTAGTTTTCAGTTTGGCATATTTTAAGACCCAAGCATGTTCTATAAATCAAATCATCACATAGTATGATTTGTTTACGCATGATCAGGCTCATCACCTTCAAAAAGCAGGAAAGGCCTATGGCTTTACAACATGTAAAACAGGATAAGGTGTTGGTTTTAACCCCTTGGTTTCATCTACTGTTTTGAAACACATGATTATTTCTGCTGTCACACCTAGGCACAGTAATTTCAACTCAGATTTAGCAAGCTGTGTAAAAGATCCTGATGTTGGAAAAGATGGAACGCAAAAGGATAAGGAAATGACAGAGGCTAAGATGGTCAGATAGTGTCAGCAATGCTATGAACATGAGTTTGGGCAAACTCTGGGAGACAGGAGAGCTTGGCATGCTATGGTCTATGGGGTCTGAACAGTTGGACATGACATAACAACTAAACAAGAATCAAGCCAGTGACATAAAAAGGAACAGGCAACGCACGGATTTCATACTATAATTCATTAAATGACAATATGAAGAAAATGGGCTATTAATTAAAAACCCATCATTTAGAAAGGGGTCTGCTAAATTGATAATGTAAAGAATTTAAAATTATGTTATCGGTCTCAACTTTACCAACTTTCCATCTGCTAATTAATCCTTCAAAGTGTTTGTTCGATTAGTTTAATTTTTTTTAAAATTATGTGACTTGTTTTGCTTATACATTGTGGAAAGAAAGAAAACCTCCTTATTTATGTGAAGATCCAGAGTATAGTGATTCTTTAGTACAATGATTTTCTTCCATGAGTCGGAGAAAAATGGATGCCTCCGTCCCCGCAACCCAAAAGGGTAGAAAAAGATTTCTTCTGAACATTTATGTCTCTAGATGGCTATTGATTAAACAATCTGGCCTAGGTATTCTCTACAGGAATACCTTACATAGGAAACAATCAAATCTGCAAAATTCTATTACTATAGCCAATATAGTACAGTAGTTTTAGAATTCCTTGGAGTTAAGCTGCAGAACTTATTCATGTGTGCATGTTTTGCATGCATACCTTTGATTCCTGATTTTTGGTGACTTACTAGATTTGTCCTTGCAGTTTTCTTAGCAATAGATTTCAGAAATAGTTTGCCCTTGCCTGCTTCCTCTAGTTAGGAAAGATGGATCTCTCAGGTGACTTCTGTGCTTAAGGCAGGACTAGAACTCAGTCTTCAGTTTCCATATTGGTGCCTTAGCTATTGGCTCAGAATTGAAATTAACCCCTAATATTTAATCATTCTGGGAAATAAATTAGGCATATTTTTTAAAAAGTAATTTTTACTATAAGTTTAAAAGTGGTGGTAGTAACATTCTTTTATTATTACTACCCTGTTCGGGTTTTTTTTTACTTTTTTAATTTTGCTGTACAGTGTCTTAATAAATAATGATCCAAAGAAGGATGAAATTGATGGAATTTAAAGATAGCCCCAATCTGTCGTAATTCTGATCCATTAATAAGGCATTTCTTTTTTTTCAAAGGCATATCCACATGGCACCAGCTACATATTATTTTAATATCACAACTTTACCGTGGTCTTTGCCACATTCCTGCATCAGCAAAACTTACCCTATTATGAAACCGTGCAGTACGATAAGACTTTGGTGACAAATTGAAAACTGTGTAATGATCAGGATGCCTTGAATCAAGAAATGTCCGCACATCGTCAATATGATTCCTAAATCCCAGTTCGACTCCTTCACCCGGAAATGACATCACTATGAAGAAACGGGGGGGAGGGAAACAAACATATATTCTGAAGTGAAACCCAAATAAAATGGGCAATGAGAAGTTGGAGGTTGCTGCATTGCTTTATTACTCAAATAATAGACCACTTACCAATAATTCTTGAGGTAATATAAGAAATATCTAATTCTCCCTTGGCATAGCTATAAGAGGAAAAAGAAGAGAACAACAAAGTAAATTTTGGCTAATGCATACATATACAACTGTCTGATAAAAATATCAAGAATGCATTTGGATTATCACTTCTTTTTTTTACATTCATGGGATATTTTAGGGGCCAATCACCTTGCCCACACTTATTACAAACATCTTAACTAAACACAATAATATTTACTTTAAAAATATTATTTATTTATCTAATAATAAATCTCCAATTATAAGGAGAAAAAGAAAAACCAAATAAACTAGAATTCTATATTCATTACAGTGTTCAGCAACTTATTTCATTCCACTCTACTCCACTCCATTCCATTTGCTACACATTCAAAACCTACAGTAGAAGAACTCATTATTTCTGTTAAGTTCCACACTTTTCCAGTCAGGTTTTAAATCAGATTTTAGAAGAGCAGCATTAGTTGTGCTTGTTGATGACCTATGGAATCCCTCCTTGTGTTCCTTGATCTTTAAAGGGTTTTTGATACAATCTCCTATGGTATTCTTGTGTTCCAGAAGTTGGGAATGGGGGGATCACTTTGCTACAATGGTCCTTTCTTCGTGGTTTGTTCAGGTCAATATTAGAAGAGAGAGAGGGGGCCCATATTTCTTCATTTGGGGGTGCCTCACCTTCATTTGGGGGTTCGAAGCTTCTATTTATGACTGATTAAAACTGCTAGGTAAGGTCACTCATCAGTTTGCAGTTCAGTATAAGCAGTCTGTGAATGATCCCAAAGGTACATCTCAACTCCAAGTTGTGCAGGTGATGCTGTCAATGTTCTAGCCCATTGTCTAGAAGCTGTTTGCATAGGAAAGGGGAGCAACAGACTTTGGCTCAATCCTGACAAGACTGTGTTGAAGACTTTTGATTTTGGATGAGGTTGCACTTTCCCGTTCGAGATTGGTATGTAACTTGAAGGTCCTCCCTATTGCTCAAAGAGCAAGTGGCAGCTATGGCCAGGAGGGCCTTCGCACAGGTTTATCTTGAGCACCAGTTGTGCCCTTTCCTCACCTGGGAGACCTGTCACCTATGCCCTGTTGGATTATTGCAATGCCCTCTAATGAGGCTGCCCTTTGAAGATGCCCTCCAAAAACTACAGCTGGTTCAAAATGCAGCAGCCAAGCAATAATGGGAACTTCTCATTATGCTTCATGGCTTCCAACACAATTCGAGGTATTGGTCATTACCAATTCATACCAAAAGGCCCGGTAATTTGAGACATCACTTGTCTCCAGTTGTTTGTGGCATTCAGGCAGAGCAGGTACATTTTAGTTGCCTCAATTAAAAGCTGTCATCTTGTGGACCAAGAAAAAATGCCTTCCCTGTTGCTGCCTCTATGTTATGGAGTAGCAGGGTGTTCTCTATGACTTTCAGAAGTACCTTAAGACCTGGATCTCTTCCCAGGCATGCCATTAGAGTGTTGGTGGAATCCCCGTTGAATCTTTTTTTTACAAAAAAGTTGAGATATGCTTCTTTTAGTCAGGGCAGCTCTGTAACTTCAGTTGGATGCTTTAGCTTAATGTATCAGATATGTTGTAAGCCACCCAAACTCTTTTTGGAATAGGGTGGCCTTAACACATCAAATCAAATCAATGAATAAATAAAGAGAGGGAGAAGTTACTCTCCAATCTAGTGATCAATAGAAATGTTGGGGTTACTATGAGTGTGATGGATATGGAATGAAGAAAATCTATGCATGCAGTTGTTAAGAATCATTACTGACTTGATGGCACATAATCAATCAATTAAAGAAGGGAGCAGGTGGTTGTGATCAGGGAAGAGCTTCTACGATTCCAATCCCCCACTAGAAACAGCGACAGTTGAGAATGGCAACATGGTTCATAATGCCGCAACAGTGATATTTTTGTGCTTGACTGTGAGGGTCTTTGTGTCCTGATCCAGCATTCATTTCAGTATATATTCTTATGAAAAGTGTCTTATTTCAGCAGGGTGTCTCCTTGGTTATGTGGGGGGAGGACCACTCAACAATAACTCATACTTAAAGCTGTCAGTTCTTGTTCAAGAACCTAATCGCACGGGTCTAACATTCCTGAATTAATTGTGCTATGTATTTCAGTGGATTTAGAATATGACAACTTAATTGTGACGGAGTGCAGAGAATGGCCTTGACAAAGGTATGCAAGAGCTACTGAGACATGATGAGAAAATAAATGCCAATTCAGTCCTGGGAAAGGAGAGAACTTGAGAAATAGAAGAACACTGCAGTAGCCTCAAGTATGAAGACTCAAAGTAAATCTACATTTTCAGTTCTTTCCTAAGTTTAAACAGACACCGAACAAGGCAGTCAGTTAAGTAAGAGCTGTCTGTTACCTAAATTTCAGATTGTGTTTCACTTTAGCGAATTGGTTGTAATTATTCAAACGCTTTTCATTTCACTATATTGCTCAATAATCAAATTTCCCTTTCCACAAGCCTATTAACAACCAATCACTTTCAACAACAAGGCATCTTAATAGTGACTGTGTTGCTTGCTGAGCACTTCAGATGGATGTATTTCATAGTACCTTGCAACAGATTGCATCACTTTAGTAGAAGTATCTTTTAGAGTATCTTTCAAGTTATCCTTTAAGTTGCTGAAGAGTCTCCCTGCACCACCTTTCATCATGTCCAATAATCCTCCCCCATAGCTAGACTCCATGTCAGGAGAAGAGGCACCTTGAAAAAAGGAAAAGGAGACTCAATAAAACAAAGGCACTGTGGAAAAAAAAACAACCCAAGAACTTTAACCACCACAGCAAATTTTAGATTAGTTACACGAATGTACTTATTAGAAAAAGATGAGAAAACAGAGGCATTAGGAGCAACCAAAGTAACCCATAATATGAAGACAAAGAACACAACGACATTATTGTCCTGTTAAAACAAGATGTATTGACATTGACTATTTCTTGTTTTTCTTTTCCAGTTAGAACTGAAAAAGATGAAACTGATCTGAGAGAGAATAAGCAACAACAGGAAACAGGCATAGCAGGAGTAGGATTAGATAAGAACATCTGTCAACAGATTGCATTAGTTTTGCAGGACCTGAGAGAGTTCCCAGACAAAGGGATACATTTGAATCATAACAGCCCAATGTAGAGATTTCTATCCACAGAACCTCACATCTCAAAGTAAAGTTGAACTTTCTTACTTTGGGGGGGGGGGGGCTGTGATATTTTACAGGGGCTTTGAATCACAAGCAAGTGATGATTAAAAAAATTGATGGAGTAATCTGGAATTGTGGGGAGGGAGCTTTGGAGATGCCCCTTTGTCAAGATCAGATCAAGCCCTGATTACCATGGATACCACTCTGCCATCCACTGAAGGGAGGCCACATCCCTTAGATTGATCCAATTGGTGGTGATTGTGGGGGGGGAAGATCCCACCTTCGTCCCCTACTGTGTTAGAGTGCCACAGGGCTCGGTGCTTTCTGTGCATCTATTCAACAATTACATGAGGCCACTGGGGGAAATCATTTGCTGCCATGGGAATGAGGTATCAGTACACTGATGATACCCAATTATAGCTCTCTGTCCCTGGCAAATTAAATAATAGTATGGATGTCCCACCCTGGTGCCTGTAGGAGCCTGAATGGAAAGCAACAGGCTTCAGCAAGACTGACTGGCCTTAGGACCCACTGGTTCTGGGACTATACTATCTTTGCTCTGGGTGGGGTTGCACTGCCCCAAATAGACCCTGTGTGCAATCAGACAGTTCTCCTGGACTCACAGTTCCTGTACAAGGAGCAGATGGCAGCAGTGGCCAGAAGGGCCTTTGTACCATTTTGCATTGTGCCACCATTGTGACCATTCCTAGATCAAGGGACTCTATTCACTTATGCCCTGGTCACCATCTAGTTGGTCTACTGTAATGCAATCTACATATGGGGCTGCCCTTGAAGAGTATCCGAAACTTCACTTGTACAGACTGCAGTCACATGGACAGTTCTGCGTATTTCTAGAAGAACACACTGCTGCTCTGTAAGCTGCATTGGTTACTAGTCCAATTTTGGATGCTGGTTTTGTTCTTTAAAGCCCTACATGGCATGAGGCCATATGAATCCTGGGACTGTCCCTCCCTGATTCTATCTGCCTGTCCCACTAGAATAAGCAGCTTCCAACCTTTTGGACACCAGGGACCGGTTCTGCAGAGAGAGATTTTTCCGCAGACTGGAACAGGCATAGTTTCCTATGCTTGGTGGTGTATTAACCATTAAGCAGACTAAGCACATGCTTAGGGCACCAGGCCCAAAGGGGGCACCACAAGGTTGAGAATATGGCTTCGTTTGTACGGTATATACAAAGGAGGGAAGCACCAAGATTTGTCAGTGCTTAGAGCATCAGTGAGCCTTAATCTGCCACTGCCTGTGTTGCCCACATCCCGCAGAGGGAGCTTCATCTGTTTGTGTGGTCTGGTTGCTGGCATGCCGCAGACCATTTTCGGTCCATGGACCGGGCATTGGGGACCCCTGCGCTAGCTCTAGCAAAGAAGGCATATCACCGGTCCCATCAAATAGGGAGCTTTGCTTGGTGGATCCCGACTTTATGGGACATTCTTCCCCCGAGAGCCAGACTGACTTTATCTGTTTAAAATTTTCAATAGTCCCTCAAAATCTGGTTATGTCATCAGGCCTGGGGACCTTAGGGGACTGGTAAAATATTGAGATGGAGCAATTAGCATCTGCTTTTACATATATATCATTTTTTGCCTTTTGTAATTTTAACATTTTTAAACATAACAATGTTAATATTTGTCAGCGTATATGGCTTTTAGCTTTGTTGTACACCACTCAGTCACTTGTCTGTGAAATGGAAGCCATGTAAATATGATGAAATAAATAAATACCAAATAATTATAATTATGCAAAGTTAAACAGCTGAAAATAGCTCTCTGTCTATCAGGCCGTAGACATACACCATATCTGTGGCATCACACATTTCAGGAAATGAAATCACTATTTATTCAGGGCATTAGAAAATACTGTCCAATTGAATTAAATTAAGAAATGCTGCTCTGGGATATTTAGACCCCCTTTTTGCCTCTATAAATCAAGGATAGCTTACTAATTGCCAAAATTTGGCTGGATGAATATGAAACTGAATCACCATTCTAAGGCAATAGCTTCATTGATGAGAATAACAATATCTCATCTCTTTTAGTGGATTTTTGTTAGAAGATTTCTTTCCAGGACATCGCTTTGAAATGATTTGTGTGAAGGAGGTTGCTGGTTTTTTGTCAAAGACAAGCAGCAAAAGGAGATAAAATCCTCCAAAAACCTCAGAATGAAATAGTCTTTATGATAATAATTTTCTTGGCAGGACACATTTCTCCCCCACCTCTCTGTACTACAAATGAATAGAAATATGGCTTCATTTAACTGCATTTGGAAAAATTGCTTGATGCATGTCTCAGTATATCATATTTTAAACACATTATGAAAAAAGTAGGTCTCTAGAGAGGTTTATAATGGCAGGAAAGATGGAAGAAAAGTGTGTGGGGGGGTGGGATGATCAGCAAAGAGATGGATAGATTTGATTACATCAAATGAAGAATATGCCAACTGAAGACCTAAAGGACCAAGTTGTGGCAGGCCATTCTAAGAAAATCTATGTAGTTGACACCAAGTTAAAGGGACACAATAATCAGTCATTCATGGATTTATACAATATGGAATTGCAGTTGTCAACTTCAATCCTTAAAACATATCCCTAATATTCATTTTATTTTTGTTTGTCTGTACAAGAGTCTGCCATTCATTCTGGTTGCTGAAGCTTTATCCTTATCCCATCTAAAGGAGAAAAAGATATCCTGATATCAAAGTGAGTATGCTTCTTTGAATTTGGGCATTTATTACAAAAGAGAACAAATGCTGGAACTCTCATAGCTTTTTCATGAAGAATTGTGTGGCAACTTTCTTCCGGAGAATTATAATAGCTGCAGTGGCAAATTACCATCTAACTTATTTATTTATTTTATATAATTTCTATGCTGTTCCTATTATAAAACTGTCCATGGCCCACTAAGATAAAAGTGAAGCAGAAAAAAGCATAGGAGTAAAAACTATAAAATTATAATAAACAATGTTAATTATATTCTTTGTGATGAATATTTAAGAAGTTTAGAAACAGAAATATTTTATTGTTTCAACTTACTGAAAGATTATTCAGAGGAAAAAAATAGAAAGATTAGCGATCATGCTGATTATTTTAATTCTGCATTTCACTAACCTTTCACTAACTGTTTCCTCAAACATTACTCTCATTTAACTTTCCTTTATGCTTTCTCAAAATGGACAATTGCATTTTCCTCAAACACATTTTCAAAATAGTAACTTTGAGGAAAAACCTGACATGCTTTGTGCTTAAAAATTGTATGTAAATTGTCACAATATAAAACACACTCAGGGGTGATATGAACCTAAATGAGAATGCTGCTACAACCAAAACTATGTGGATGAGCTGATAATGTTATTCAGCTCCAGAAACAAAGAGGCTTCAGAAATTGACTTTTCTCATCTCAAATTGTCCAAGAGAACAGACAGACGAGATAGTGTCTAAGAGACTGCCTTTTGTTTTCACAGATATGGAGATATCTCTCAGTTTCTTCATAAACAATTACTACGACATAAGATATTTTAACTTCTAGTAATGGCCTTTTAAGAAAAGTTAATGTACCTTAGTGTACTGAAAGCTAATTCAGTTAGTCAACATTAGTTCTTCAGTCTAATGTTTTCTAAATATACCAACATCTAGTAATTTTCCTGATCTGAAGCTATTTTGAGTAATATTTCTGGGAAATAATTAAAATATAAGCAATGCTGAAATTCCACCTGTTTGGTTTAATATGATGAGTTGTTCATAATTCATAGACTGGGGCTTTGTTTCATGAGAGAAGCTAAACAGAGCTTGCTCTGATGAGAATTTGCTTGAACATTAAAAGCAGCCACTTCTATGCTTTCTATGTTCACTTTCAAAGATAAAAATGTTTGAGAAGCTTTTCAATAACAATAGCAATAGCACTTAGACTTATATACCACTTCAGAGTGCTTTACAGCCCTCTCTAAGCAGTTTATAGAGTCAGCATATTGCCCTCAACAATCTGAGTCCTCATTTTACTGACCTCAGAAGGGTAGAAGGCTGAGTCAACCTTCAGCCGGTGAGAATCGAACTGCTGGCAATTGGCAGAATTAGCCTGCAATGCTGCATTCTACCACAGTTTTCTCAATATTGACTCTTTCCAATGACATGCTTCAAACTAATACTTCTTCCAGGGCCATGGCTTAAAAAAAAACCTAGAGTATTTCAGTTCACTGAATCCTTACAATGAATAGCTTGTCTTCAGAATGTCAAGAATAAAAAGAAATGTAAAATCCTCTGTCTGGATTTTAAAATGTAATTCACAGCAGAATTTGGAAAATTGGGTGCGACTGAGAAAGACTTGAGAACTGAGTTTAGAAGCAGCTTACTTTAGGAGAGTCAGGGTTCTGGGTTTATGATTTAGCTGAACGTTTAGTATCAGAACTCCTTGTTCTGAAAAATCGCGATATACTGGTCTAACTCAGCTTATCCCAACCGGTGTCCTTCAATTATGTTGGACTGTAAGCCACATACCTATTGATAAGCTGTTAGCTGAGAATTGCTACCACAAAACCTATATCTGAAAATAAAGCTATTATTATGAAGACACCATATGTCTTCCTTCCTTATAAAAAGGACAATCCCAAGATAGTAAATACAGTGGATCTTATATACTAGCAAGTTTCTCAATACATATTGGAATGTAATTCCTTTAATTCCCAAATCTCTTTTCTGTATTTGCTGGGAAAGATGGAAGGACAGAAAAGAAGATAAGATGGACAGACTCAGTTACAATGACGCAATGGATGCACCAGGCGAAATCCTACAATGTCGGGTAAAGATTGTCATGGCGGTGTGCTATGTGATGCTAAGAGGTGACATCAGTTTCATGGCACACAATCAACAAATCCAACATATTTGAAGAGCGCGAGATCAGAATAGGTTCATTTAATCCAACGTATCAGGATCTCATCTAATCAGTATACTAAATTGATTTTCCTGAGGAACAATTCTATAAAGCGTTTTATCAATGTGCATTAGAACTGCATCACTGCGATCAGTGGAAATATTCAGTTTTCATGCCTAAAATGAAATAAGCACTTCAGTATATAAGAGGATACCTTGGCTGATACAACTGAATTATTTCTCCTGTGTTGCTTTCAGTTTGCAGAAAACATGTTATTAGATATAATAAAAGAGTGATAGGAAATGTGTGCCTTCATCATAAAATGAAAGATTAATAGCGTATATATTAGGTACTAGTGCTGGAATTGCAGTGCCTATAAACTCTACAGAATAGCTCAGAACAGACATCTCTAAAATGAGAATGGAAATAATTTTATGAACAAATGAAAATAATTTTAAAAAGTGAAAGCATCCTCATCTGACTTTTCAAGTGATAAATCTTACCATGACAAATGCTTGAATGAGGAACAATTTACAGTCTTAGAAGTGCTTCTTAGTCATCATATTTATTAAGTGTGAATGTTACTGAAATCTATAATAGCTTTTACATAAGTCTTGAGAATTGGAAAAGGGTTTTGTTGCTGTTGTTATCATAGACATTAATTTTGGAAGCAATGGGGATTGAATTCATGCATAATGAATGCAGGAATACCCAAGTGACACACCAGCTACCTCTGAAAAACTCCAGCAATTTGAGCTGTAGAATGCTTACTACATGCAGTACCAGGCTTCTATTTTTAAATAAAAATTGCTAACTTTCATACCATTAACATATTTTTATTATTCTGCATATTCACTATGACTATTTTTGAATTCTACCAACAATAGAATTCACATAGAAAACATTCAGGAAGGCAAATACAACAGTAAATGTTCATTCCCTTGGCATTCTTATAAATTGAACAGCTAAGAGTAAGCAAGGCTGGGCAACTCATGCCTTGAGGCTTAAGTGCAACCCTTGAATGTGCCCTTACCCATGATTGCAAAAATAGCACATTCTTGATATTCCCATATTATGAACGGTTTGGTACTTTGTTATACTTTGGTAATCCTCAACTTACAACCATTTGTTTAGTGAAAGTCTGAAGTGTTAAGAGCACTGAAAAAAGTGACATGATGATTTTTCAAACTTACAACCGTTGCAGCATCCCCATAGTCATGTGACCAAAATCCGGGCATTTGGCATGTATTTATGACAGTTGCACTATCTTGGGGTCATGTGATCATCATTTGTAACCTTCCCAGCTGGCTTCGGACAAGCAAAGCCAATGGGGGAAGCCAGATTTACTTAATGATTCAATGATTCACTTATCAACTGCAGAGATATACTTAACAATTGTGGCCAGAAAGGTCATAAAATGGGGTACACCTCCCTTAACAACTTCTTAGTAACAGAAATGTTGGGTTCAGTTGTGGTTGTAAGCCAAGAACTACCTTAATTTAAAAAATTTAAAAATCTCAATTCTCCCTCAAACCCATCTCACCAACACATGTGAGGCTGTTCCACCCAATCTGCAACCCCTGCCTCTTCCTAAAGTGTCATCCTTGGCCACCAATGATTGCCCACTTTTATGGGGGATTCTTCTTTATCATTATACAGATGGCCAGAGAGCCTGGTTGGTGAGCTGAGTCACTGAGCTAGAAACAGGGAAATATGAGTTCTACTCTTGCCTCTTAGCTCTAGGAAGTAATCAATGGTAAACCACTTCCAGAAACCTGTCAAGGAAACTTCAAAGACTTTTTTCAGGCAGTTAATAGGAGTCAACACTGACTCAAATGTACACACACACACACACACACACACACACACACACACACATAATTATGTAATGATTAGGATGTGAAGTCTAACATCCAATGGATGTCCTTATTCCTGAAGTTCCAAGGAAGGAAATGATCCAAAGTAGACCAAACCATGTTTTCCAATATTGCCAAAATGACTAAAACTAGAATCTACCCTTTAAGTGTAAACATCTGGGAATACCTCCCTTTGGTAGTTTTAAGAAATGCACTCAAAATTACACAGTTGCAGGTTTTTTAATTTATAAAATATTTGCAAATGGTTTTAAATGAAGCTGTTTAACTTTTATCAATTAAAAAAAACAGTGGATGAATATTTAAGGACTGTTTGCAGAAAATAATTATCACAATCCTTAAGTAATCATCTTCTGTGTCCTTAGAAACTTGTCACCTTCCAGATGTTGCTAAACAATTCTCCTGGCTATATTGTTAACTCTGATATGAGTTGAAGTCAGCAACTCTGGTTTTCCCCCAAAAATGACAAGATCACAAGAGCCAGTAAGAATATTAAAACCCATTAGGTAATTTTACCCTTTTCATGGAAAGTGTTAAATCAAGAATCATAACAGCAGACTCATACAGATGAAAATAAGCACAGATATATCACATGTTGATATATCCATGTTGTTCACACAAGCCTATTAGTCTATTAACTGCAAAATTTAAACCAATATTTTTAATTTGATCTACAAACTTAAGTAAAAATCTATACATTTCAAAGTAAAATTTTGATTAAAAAATATTTTAATCTTTTTCCTTCTTGAAGCAGATGATCAATCCAAGATCTGTAACGAGTGGAGTCTGCGTAATTTCTGAATTTGTAAAGCCTAGCTTGTCACTTTTTTTTCAAATCAAACAAAGAGAAAGGAAATAAAACCTCAAAGAGAAGGTAATGCGTAATTGTTAGCAAGCGAAGACACATAGTAAACTAAATGTAACTATTGTGGATCATACAGTTATTTCAATAGAAATAAAAGTGAATATCAAATCCTTTAAAATGCTATACATGGAACAGGAGATTTGGCTTTCCTTATAACTTTTTAGCATTTTCTCAGCTCATTGGGAAATAACCTTATATTTGTTGCCAAAAATTTTCAAAAGCAGTACTATTTCTTTCTCACTCAGTTTGAAACTGATCTAGGGGAAGAATGGTTTTATGAAGCAATTCATTCAACATCCTACTGTTTGAGGATTTGGAAAAAGCCTGAGTCTTCCTCTCTCTCATGCACACACCTCTAACCGCTTAACAAAATTGGGCACTATATCAAAATAACTGAATACTATAAAATTCTCAGTCTAACCAGGATAACTTTGAGGTTCAACTCCCCCCCCCCAAAAAAAACTCTTTTTTCCCCCTCAATGTAGCAGCAGCAGCACATCATTTGATGGAAAATGCTTATACATCAAAAAATATTCTTTACTCGGGAAAAAGGAAGACTTCGTCAGAAATGAAACAAAACTGTGAATATATTCCTATAGCGCTAGCTTTTGTGGCATTGAAGAAATCATGTCATTCAACGAAATGTGCCCTTCAACCAATTTGAGAACACAGCAGATAATCCATCAATAAGTACCAGGTTATTGATGCAATTGATCAGCAATCCAGGTTGGACATTGCAATGACTAGCTTATTACTAGTTCTATAAACCGTCCAACTGTCTACATAGGAGATTTTAAAAGAGATAAAAGATTGTGGATGTATAGCACCTTTTTATAGGTCTAACTATCACCATTTCCCATAAAGACAGTTCCGTTTTTGCAGTGAGGGAAAAAAAGGTGTGTCACTTGATGGATTTTTTTTAAAGTAGCATGCTGCTTGGGTTTTAAGCTTCCCCCAATCTATATTCAAAGTAGAAACTGGGGCTGCCAGTTAGCTTTTAAATATAACAAAAAATAATAATAAAACTTGCTTATTAGGGCTGAGCCTAACAGACAAATAAATGACCCTTATTTTCAAGGTAGTATAAGCAGCATCAGCTTTATATACTGATAGTTTCCCAGTGCAGACATTCACTTTCTTTCTTTCAACAAAAATCAAACAAAAACCACTTTAAGCAGAAGATTTCCTGCCAAAGACCAAGTACTTTTGAAAATATACATTTGCTTCTTTCCAGGGTTCCCTGAAGAGGTCATTTGCTAACAGTTTTGGTTTCACACCAAGGCACACTAGCAAAATAGCCCGAAGCAGTCTTCTCTGCATTTCCATTCCCTCCCACTCACCCACTTATTCACAAGCACACACGCAGTCCGAGAACAATACACTGATCGGCGCGGTTCCTTTGCGCCCCGCCCGTCCCCCCCACCCCCACCCCCTTGTACTTAACGGAACAGCGTGACAAGAAGGGACAGGTTTCTTCATTAACTGCTCTTAAAACCTTTGTACGTTTTTAGTAAGCAGGCCTTCGCCTTAGAACGGGCAGCCTGGCCCGGCCAGGTCCGCTCCAACCCCGCCAACCCTCCACCAACACACAGTCCTCGCTCGGAAGATTGGGCCCGAAGTACCCCCCCACCAAACACACACACACACACACACACTTCCCCGCGGAGAGGCAGTCAACCTGCTACCTGAGCTGTCCATGGTGCTGCAGTCGAGCGGCTGATGCTGAAGCTGTCGCGCTGGGCTCCTGGCTGCTGCTACCACCGCGGGGATCACCCCTTGTTTGCCGAGGTTGCCGCCGACGCCGCCGGTTCGCTCCCGGCTGCTGCAGAAGTCACCGTTGCTGTCCACCAGCTGCAAAGATTCATAGCCATCATTGTTGGTCTTTTTTCGGTAGCTCCCGAGGAGACTCATGGGCGAGTCAGGCAGAGAGAGTGGCACCGCGGACATAAAAGGCGGGAGAATCGCAAACAGCTCACCTTCCCCTAGAGGCGGAAGCAGCCACACACCCAGAGCGGGGCTCCAGCCCCAGCAGGGCCTTACTTGCGGGCTGACTGGGTGTGAGCGCAGGCGGTGGAGGCAAGCGACCTCCCCGCCTCTTGTCTCCCGTCCCCGCCTCTGCCTGGCAGCTATTGGAGCAGCCTTGTGAGGCACACCTTGCCTGCTGCTACAGACACTAAGCCCGACCCTTTTAGTCTCTAATGCCTACTGCTTTCAGGAAGCGATGCCCGGAAGCAATGTAAGAAGGGCCTCCAAGCGTGCCTGCGCGCGTTTCTCTACCGCTTGGCTTCCCCACCATCCCGCTGCTTCTAGAGACCTAGAAAGGAGCAAGATCAAGAAGCATGCAAAGCAGGGGAGGGGGGGCGGGGAAGGAGGGCTGCAGATCATCTCCATCCCGATTCAAGGCATTCAACATTCCAAGGTTAAAGAAAGGCAGCAGGCACAGTCAGGAAGTGGATAGAATCTATCCCACTCAAACATCCAAGATCGGAATCAAGCAGGCAATGGAGTTTCTTTTCCCTGTGACACTCTAAGGAAGCATTAATTGGACATTGAAGAAGCGGGGTAGAAAGAGTTGCTTACACTTTTGAAATTTGATGTTGAAGAAGAAGAAATTTGATGTTGAAGAAGGGGCGTGCATAAGCGTACCAAGGTGCCTACCATCCCTGTCCTATTGTTCCTTTTATTTTTCTTATATGTACCCATTTCATGTATTCATAACTATGTATATACTTATACCTATTATCTTGTAAGCGATTGACAAATCAAAATAAATAAATAAAGAAGCTTGAAAATACAACTGATAATCAAAACCAAACAAAAGAATTATTGAACAAATCACTTGAAGTACACACGACCAGGCTCAAATCATTATACTTTGGACAAATTATTCAGTGGACAAGCTCTCTGATGAAATCTATAATAATTCCACCAGAGAAATGGAAGATGAGCAGTAACAAACTGGATGGACTCAATTACAGCAGCAATGAGTGCATTACTGGAAGTCCTATGGACCAAGTTGGAGACAGATCCACCTGGAGAAAATCTATGTGATCCCTGAGAATCCACACTAATTTGATAGAACATAATCAATTCTCAAAACCTCACCTGGTGCCCTGTTCCTTCCTTGTAGCCCAGGCTTCCCCTATCCTTATATCCTACAAAAAGTAGGGAATTGGCCAACTCTCCATCATGTAGATGCTAGTCTTTCCTTATCACTATCATCAGAGCCAGAAACATAGAAAATTCAGTGAATATATGCAATAAAGTATCTAATGAAGCCTTCTTTACAAGTCACCTTCACTAGTTATACCAATATTCAAAATATTACAGCATTTTCATCCACACAACAGATCAAGGGTCTTCAAACTTGGCAAGTTTAAGACTCATGGACTTCTACTCCCAGAATTCCCGAGCTAACATTACTGGAGGAGGAATTCTGGGAGTTGAAGTCCACAAGTCTTAAAGTTGTCAAGTTTGAAGACCCCTGCAATAGATGCTAGTGGTCTATGCAAGAGACTGCTACCTAGAATGCAGGTCCAAACTTTTACTAAGATAGGATAGCTTGGGCAACTATAAGAACTATATTTTTATAAGTGAAACTCACTGCAATAACCTAAGGTCTGTATATGCTGTTTTTTTATACTAATTAGTACATCTTTCAAGGAATGGCTTCTGTTTCTCTAATTGTAATTGGATTTCTTTAAATTATATTGGATTCTAAGAGAGAAAGAAAAAGTGTCCCAAAATATTTTAGACTGGGACATTCTAGATTAGAATGTTTTTTGTATTCTTGCTTGATCCAACCCTGCTCATATTAACGTTTATATTTATATATATTGCATCTATATTCTTTTAATCTTTCCAAAGTTCATGTTTTTCACATGTCTTGGGCTACAACTCCTTTCAATACCATGCTTAGTCATGTGGATGCACAAACTTGGAAGAGGCTGCTTTCCTGTCGTGTGAAAACTACTACATTAAGGAAGCATTTGATGTGCATTTCTGGACCATCCATATCTCAGACATCTTATGATGAATAGATCCATGAAAATCGGATGGGAGCGAAGCCAACATTTTGGCTATCTAGCAGATTTTTCCCTCATTCAAACAGCTTCTTCTAAAATTCATTTCTAATATTATCAACATCCCATCCAGTTTTAGAATGTCTTCATTGTTTTGCCAAACCAAGATTTTTCTTTTTTTATCAGTGCGGCCAAGTTTTTTTTTAAAAAAAAGAGTAGGATTCCTAAGCCTTTTACAGTTTTGAGAGAGAAAGAGAGAGGCAGAATATGATACTCATCAAGTGTAGCTTATCATGAAATTACACCGCCTGCAGTGCCCTTTTTCTTAATTACTAAAGAAACACTCCCTTTAGATCTGACCATATTCTAATGTTTAAAATTTGGCAAAGCTACAGTGTACTTTCAATTTGCATATCACACAGCTGTTTCTCCTCTTCATTCAAAAGAATGCAATTTGGTAAGGAATATACCAGAGAAAGCATAGAAGAAGAAAAAATCAATGAATTATTTAAAAATTGTTAAATGGAACCATTTTGTTCCACTATTGAATTTTATAGCTTTTATAGATGTACTAATGGCTTAGCTTCATTTTTTAAAGTATAGATGAAAATTAATTTGGTTGGAAAATTTGTCATGAAGCAGCAATTTATAAAAAATGTTTGGTGCCGAATTATTTTACCTTTTAAAGATTGCTATATTGAAAATATTGTGCACTATCCCAAAATCCAAATTAAGTAAACTTGGGCTGAGGACTTTGGGCACAGCATAAACTTGGACCAATGGCAATCAATATGGGAGCAAAATAAAAAATAACATTAGCCACATCATACAAGGAAAACTTGTATAAGGTGTTCTATGTTCTAGTGGTGGCATCTCCCATGGAAAACTTGGAAAAGGAATTATTTGTTCTTACAAATAAGGCAGAGGAATATGGGCAAAATATGCAGGGAGGACAACTTATGTCTGAGCTTATAGTACTTCAACCAATGTATTGTGGTATAACTGTGTCTAACAAGTGAATACAAGATAAGCCACAAAGACAGAATGAGAACTGCATAATTTAGGTAAAACATTATCTAAAGGTTTTTCACATTTTATCCATCTATTAGCAAGTTATTCTTCTTCACATATTCTGGGAATATGTTGTTTATGGACATACTGAGGAAAGCTTCTTTAAATATTCTGTTCTCTTATAGTCATCAATATTTTCCCTTTCCTTGGTTTTCTTATAACACCTTCTTATAATCCAGGGATCCCCAAACTTGGCAACTTTAAGATTCGTGGACTTCAACTCTCAGAATTCTCCAGCCAAATTTGGAGACCTCTGTTATAACCTATTGGAATCTCCTCTGCATTATTCTTCAGCAACACACAGCTTCCAGATGTGGTAAATTATTACTTCATTATTTCCAGTCAGTTTGGGGAAGGCTGGTCCATATGTTTACTTGGAGGAAATTGCATTGTGGGACTTTACTTAGGAAAGTGTCTTTGTAAGATTGAAAACTATTGTGGTTTTCGTAGGAATACTGACCCCTCTCCAGTAATTCCTACTGATTCTCTGTTAAAATGATGACTGGGTTTTAGTGCCTTTAAATGAGTATGTAATAGATACAACATCCCACATAACTGTATCTTCAAGTATAGCACTAAGGCTAAGTTATTTTCCAAGAACATGAATGCATGGAGCAGATGGACTCTAATATAGGAGATTATTTGTAGGCAGAGGTTTGTCCTCCGAGTTTGCTACTTGGCTCCCAGATGTTTCATTACCAAACTAGGTAATATCTTCAGCAGGGTTTTGGGTGAGGTGTCTTGTTCATTTATATAGGTATTAGGTGGTTGGTTGGTCTTGCGACTGGTTGAATCACAAGACTGGTGAGAATATTTGTAGTTCAGGGGTTGAAATGAGTGCTCTTTTTGAGCTTTGTTGTGACTAGCACCGATGTTGGGGTAATGAAGCATCTGCAAGAAAACAACCAAGCTCAGAGAATAGCAAGGATTTACTTTTGTTCAGCCCAACCACCTCACAGGGTTGTTCTTTTGGGGAAAATAGGAAGAGGAAGGTGTAATAGGTATATTCACTGCTTTGGTTATTTATAAAAACAAGAGTAGAATTGTAATTTCTTTAATAAAATTAAAGAAAGTAGAAAGAGCAGCATATAACACTTTGTGAACTTTATACTGAAGCCTGTTTTTTACTATAAGTACTTACACACACTCACACCTCCAGATTCCTCTCAAGAATGTGCCACAAAATGGATTATCTATGGTCTACTCTTACAACACTGCTGCAGTTGCTCACGTTTGTCAGATGCTCTCAGCCAAGGAATTTAAATCAAGCCTTACAACTCCAAGCAAAATGGCAACTCAATGAAGTGTGAAAAACAGATCAATACAGTTATATTTGTACCCAAGACATATTTGTTACAGGACCCATTCAGAAAGCAAAAGAGCAGAACTATTGCTTGGTTCTTGCTGAAACCACTCTCATATATCATCCAAGATCTCCTGTCCAACCTACATGTGAGGCTATTTTCAGCCTAGGCAGAAAGCACAAGAGTGTCCATTGAAAGTTGTAAGAACGACAGAGACATTATGGCATAAGAGCTGGGGAAAATATGTTAATTAAGAGATTATAATATAAACTTTATTGATTTTTATTTTTTATCCCTCCTTTATTACTTTTATAAGTAAGTCAAGGTGGCAAACATACACAATATCCTTCCTTCCCCTATTATCCTCACAACAATGACACTGTAAAGAGGATTGGGTTGAGAGTGAGCAACTGGAAGGCAGGAATAAAACTCATGGTTTCTAGGCCAGCATCTTAACCACTACACCAGACTGCCTCTCATTATATTCCATTATTGGATTGAGTGGATGAAAAAG